ATTTTATATTTTATTTTATTTTATTTTTAGTGCTTCCCCTGTTTTTTAGCATGTCTGCAGGGAGGCTCAGCCTGCTGCCTGGCTCAGCACACAGGAGAAAATTTGGTGCAGCTGTGATTGACAAGGCCACGATGTCCTGTCAGGGAGGCTGTGTTTTAGAAATAAAATTGCTTTGGGAAATTGCAATGGGATAGCTTCCAGTGAACTAAACTGAAAGTGCCTTTCAAACATAGGGATGCTTATCCTTTCCTACCCCCTTTCCTTCTGTTATCCGTCTGCAATTCTCATGGGGAGGCAGAGAGGTCTCTGTTGCTTCCTGGTTTATGCTTTTCTTCCCTCTCTCCCCTCTCCCTGTCTTTCACCGCTGAAATATCTCAGCAATGCCAGGAGGCTGGTATGCCCTGGGAGGGTAAGAATAGTCTACAATGGCAGAGATCACTCCTGTTGTTGTTAGTCTACTTGCAGTTGTCTGGACAGAAGAGCCACACAAGAGGTAGGAGCAATTAGATCTGAGAAGTTAGAGCTTTTGCAACACAAACTGTTAAAGCCTTAAGAAGATTTGTTCCAACATCCAAAACTAACAGTCCTGTTCAAATCATCAAAATAATCCTTCATCAATATGGTGTTGTGGACAGGTTTCTCATTGTCATCCTTGATATTTACCAAAAAAATCCTTTCTTTTTTTTTTTTCTCTTTCTTCCCTGTCTGGGTCTAATCTCCTCTGGAAATGCCAAAATTGTTAGGACATCAGGAGCTGGAAGCGTTGTGAGCCTGTTCAAACATGGAGCGCTGGGACTCGCTGGGATTTTTGATTGTCACACTCAACTATAATGTGACTATTGCAGGTAAGTACTTTAAAACAGCTCTCTTCTTTCTTTTGCTGCTCCATATCCTGAAGCCACCCAAGTGTCCTGCTGATAATCAACTTTAATTTCTAGCTATGCCTCTGTGATACTTACAATAAGAAGCTGTTATTTAGATACATGGTATGAGTGTTAATGTATTTCTTTTATTGTTGAACAGATTCCTACTCCCTCTCTGATAGATGTTTTCTGAACTTTATGTAAAATATTCTGGCAAGGTTTTCAAATTTGGCTTTTCTTGGTGCCTGAGCTCCAATGTCTGTTGTAGGGATCATGGTAAAAACACACAGAATTAATGCTTTATTTATACCACATAAAGTGAACGTTAGAATGCACGCAATAGCTTTAGTGATGGATTAAAAAGTTTAAAGAAGGGCAAAAAACCTGCCTGTCTTTTACAGGGAGAAGCTTGTGGTTTGTGTCTGTTGTGGTCAATTACCATTGCTTTTCATTCTTTATTTTTGTAAATGAACAAAACTCACCTGCATTTAAAAAAAACAACAAAAAACCACAGTTGGTTTTTCCCCAGCTAACGGTCACTCCGAGTGCTTCTTTTTTTCCCCTTCTTATTTAAATAACACATTGTTCCTTTTTCACGGGCTACTTTAAGCAAAGTGTGAGCCGGAGAAAAAACTTCCAAGGGCCTGTCAAAGACCCTTCGCCTCCAGCGCCGCAGTGTTGTGCAGTCTGCGCGGTGCGTTGCGGGGAGTGCCCAACCCAGCCGCAGCGGGGTGGGTGGAGGGGCTTGTTCTAGTCCGTTTAATCAAGATTGAGTCATTAGGGAAGGCGATGCGCGGAGGGGTTCTCTCTGAAATGTGTGTCGTACTAAACTACTTCCTAAGGAGCCATTGATTTTTCTTAAGCAGCACTCCCTATTGTACATGTTCTAATTAAAAATTGAGAGTGAAATAGCATGTAGTGTTTTGAGCTTAATTAACTAATGTGCTTCAAACACTTCGAGGTCCTCACAGGGAAAAAATGCTACCTAAGGATGAGACATCGCTTGCTAAAGATGACTGATTCTGTACAGCTGGTGTTTTCTATTGACCCACACTATGTCGAAAAGAGAGTAACAGTACAGCCTGTCACCAGAATACGGGAAGCAGAAAACACAGCAAAACCACCACTAAATTTCAGGTGATTAAAGATAAAATGGAAAGGCCTCAATTTATTTATGGTTAGATAAAATATCATTTTGCCGGGAGCAGCAGGTTTCTCTGATGATCTCTCATATAGCTTATATACCCTTAATCTTTTTCCAGCTGAAGTTTTTCGACTTCAGAGTGCAGTTTTACTGTTCTAGCCCATAATCAGTCTACCAGCCACAAACCGTTTATATGGGGCATTCGAACTGCCTGTTCGGTACGGTAATAGGTAAAGAACAATGCTGCAGAAAAGTTTGCATATTTAAAATTTACACCAACTACGGGGAAATAGCTTTATGAGAAATAGAAAAGAATGCTGTTCAAGACAATACCTGTAAACAATTGTATATTTTATAGAAAAAATGCTTTGGGATCTGGATTTTTAAAAAGCCTTTAGAATGTGTATTGGTGCTAGTTCACAGACTGCCTTTAAAACTTTGTGTGCGAGATGTGCAATCACTATTAATGACTTGAGGTTTTCAATGCATTTCTCAACCATTAACTCCATGTAACGTGCTTCTCTTTAGTCACCGAGTCTTGCTGTTTGTCTGTCTGTGGTTACAGCTGGTTTCTTAATCTTTCCTTAAAGCACAAAATTAATCGTATCACTCTTTTCTGTTTTGTTTTTTCTTGTTGTTCCTAAGGGTTTTTTTTCCTCTTTTTTTGGCATATTTTAAAAAATATGTGAAATTAAAGCAATAGATTATTACATTACATTACTCTTTTGAAATGATAGGGAACTAGTGACAGGACTCAAAAGGAAACTTGAGAAATTCTAGTGCTAAACATAACTTCAGATGTTGAATTTTTCCATAAGTTTGTACAGAATGTATTTTAATTTTTGACAGTATAACAGTATATCTTTAGGCCTTCCTATCCTGTGCAGGAAAAGGATTTCTTTTTTCTTTTCATTTCTTCTTTTTCTTTTTTTTTTTTTAATAAATAACTTTGTCAGTAATACAGCAGTATGTGTAACTTTACAAAGAAACTTTTAATAAAGACCTATCCCATCCAAAAGTCCTCCAAGGAACTATCATGAACAATACAGTCTCATTCAAAAGATATGATATGTGGAGTACCAGTGCCTGATCTTTCATTGCTGTTGGTGTAATGGGATAAGGACAAGGTCTGATCTTTCTAACCAAAGTGGATGAGGCCAAGCCCTACCTAAAGCAATCACATGAAAGAATTCAGGGAGAGATAAGTAAGCAGTGCATGAAAATGCCAAACTTGTAAGGCTTTACTTTGTGTTGGTACCAAGACAGAAGTGAGCTTTTGATCTGAATGGAGAGAAAAGCTGCGCACCAAGGTGAACGAAGGTTGGAAGACATGATCAAGATGGGGCAAACAAAGAAGCAGCAAAGAGAAATGACCAGGGTACACATGTGCACACACAAATGTACATTTGTAGAACATTTTGCATAAGTTTGCTAAAAGCACCTGTTAACTATCTCACTAGTAAATACCAGTCTAGGCACAGCAGAGACATGTTGTTGGTTATAGTAAATTTTACATACGATTTAATGGCCAAGACCACGAATAAATACTATGCCATGGAACCATCTTTTGCCTCTAGAAGAGTTTCATACTGTATTAGCTGATCTATATTATTGAAACATGACAAAATTCAGGTGCAGACGTATGAACCCAACAGCAAAGAAGAACTATAAGTGAAATGGGATTATTAACTCAATTGTGAACTCTTTTTATCAGACTTGGACATGTTCAGAGTGTTTTCCTTAGGCTGAGGTTTCAGTTAGCATGGCTTATTGTATGCCAAACTCCTACGCTGAGTCTAGATGAACGTTATGGAATGTGTCATCTAGCACATTTTCACAGAAGTTTCAGTCCCAGTCAAAAAAAAGACAAAGAGGAGCTTTTAAGAAGGGAGACTGATTACAGAGGCTATTTCCTCAAATGTCTTGTGTATAGAGAGAGCATCACTACATTACCTGCCTTCTTTTCCTTTTCAGTGCTCTGAATCTTGACTCTTTTTCTTACCTTGTCTTCTCTTCTAGGAAAGATCTGGCTAATGTTAGTAATTCTGCTGCGAATGGCAGTGGTAGTGTTAGCAGGCTATCCACTCTACCAAGACGAGCAGGAGCGCTTCATCTGCAACACCCTGCAACCAGGATGCTCCAATGTTTGCTATGACTTGTTCTCTCCTGTATCTCACTTTAGATTCTGGCTCATTCAGACTGTGTCTATCCTGCTACCTTATGCTGCATTCAGCATTTATGTTTTGCACAAGGTAGCTATGTACATTGTAAGAATGCACTGTTTGGCACATGGATGCAAAGGGAATGAGAGTTTATCAAGCCCCAAAGACCTGAAGGAGCTCTGTAGAAGTGCTGTTGTCAATAGATTAGACAGCGGTGCAGACAGCCTAAGTGTCCTTAATTTTTCTGGGGCATATACTATTCATCTTTTTTTTAGGACACTACTTGAGGCTGCCTTTGCAGCTGTGCAGTATTTTCTTTTTGGATTTTTTGTTCCTGAGCGTTTTTCCTGTTACCATTCACCTTGTACAAGCACAGTTGACTGTTACATCTCCCGCCCCACTGAGAAATCCATCATGATGATTTTTATCTGGGGGATCAGCAGTCTATCCTTTCTGCTTAGTCTTGCTGATCTTGTTTGTGCTCTCCGGAGGATGACAGCAAGAAACCAAAAGAACAAGCTGCTCGCAAACCTCCATGTAGAGGATGAGTGCATTTTATGTCTTCCCCCAGCAGAGCATGGTAGCTCGTCGCCACCTCAAAATCAAGACTGTCCAGTATCAAATAACAGCCAGACCAGTGATGGCTCCTGCTCACTTCTCTCTGAAGAGGAAGAGGAGGCTGTTCTTCATCCTGAAGTGGTGGTCTCTGAGCAAACTGCCAACACGAACCTTAACAGCAACAGCAATAAGCCCTGTATATCAGGAGATCTCGCTGTTAAGCAAGATAGCACTGAAGAACCCTTGTGTGCCAGTGACCACCAAGGAACTGCATGCAGGTACGTGAGACCTAGGCTTCAGCAAGAATTCATTAAAGATACTGCCCTGACTTTGAGACCTCAGATCAAGTCTCATCTTGGAGTTTCTTCCTCTGCAGTTCAGAGCAAGGTTTTAGGATACTACCCTTCAGCTGAGCTAAAAAACCCTGATACACAATCAAATTATAGCAGTACTAGTTGCTTGAGGTCAAAAAAGTCAGAATGGGTATAGAGCCCTGAGTGAACACTACCCTACAACCCTGTCCCTGGCAGGACACATCATTGCATCACTGAGGAGGTTTCAGGTAGTTTCAGCTGGATCCCATGGCTGAGGTTATGCTGCAGAAACACTGCTATGATGTGTTCCTCAACACAAAGGGGAAAAACTTTGGATAAGAGTTTGAAGGATATTACGTTAAGGGAACTGTTCTTTGGAAAATGTAACATTTTTATATTTTTCAGTGTAAGTATGTGACTTTAAAACGCTGTGGACTGTCACTGATGTGACACCTGGTTTTCCAGGAGTACGTGTGAACACTTGCTTACCCTAACTTAGTTTTATTGCAAAAGATTGAGCTTGGGAAAGATGTGACTTTTAAACACAGTTGTACATTGTCTACTGTCAGAAGGTTAGTTTATCTCTTCATACTAAATTCTCTAAACTCACTTTTAGAAAGGATATTCAAGCAAGAAGAGTAGACAGTGAATAAAATAAAAATACATGTTTTATAGCAAGGTATTAATGTGTAAAAAACCCATTGGATCTTACTGATTGAAGGCTACACCTATTCTAGTTAACAACACCATGGCAGTACCTTTCTCTGACCCTGAGGCCAACTGGCACAGTCTGACCACTTCTGAGTGATTCAACTCCATTAGCCTCCAAAACGGGGTGGCTGCATCCAGATTAGCTGTTGGGAACAGTCCTGTGCTCAAGAGTTGCTCAGGAGGTGACTAGGAGGTGTAGGTCAGGCAGTGCTCCAGCAGCTCGACAGTGCAGGGGACTGAGCCCCAGTGCCCATGCTCTGGGTCTAGGGTAGATGTACTTTTGGCATGTCTACAAGGTGTTACGTGTCTCAATCTGGAAGTGTGACACAAAGCTCTTGATTTCAGTAGGGGGAATAAGTCACCTGACCTGTTCTCACCACCTCTGAAGGTAAGATGAGTCACTTTCTAGATATACCTATTTCTCCCACAATGTGATTATCTCAGACCTGGGCTTAGGGAAAATGGTTGCTAACCCAGGAGAAGGATATAGTGGCAATGTCTGTATCAAAGTGCTCACCCTCTTTGTCTGACAGACTTCTAATGCTAATCATTTGAAAACGTGTCTAAATTGAGTGAATCACAGAAGATTTTATTACTGTCATGCTTTGTGCTTTCCTTCAGTGTTAATTCTGTTGCGTTTACGTAAGCGTGATCCGGCACTGAAGCACAGCAGTGCGTGAGCTGCATTTTCTTTTAGCTACAAGTCAGTGGGGGTTGAAGGTTACATATACCTGCAGATCATCGGTGGGAGTGGATGTGGAGGAGCAAGTGCTCAGAGAAATGTACTGCTGGTAACGTCTTACAAATCAGATTATTCAGAGGGTGGCAGGAGCTGGTATTTGTAGACGCCGCTTGGAGCTGGAGTAGCTCCCTCTCCATTTAGACCATGCAAAGGAGAAAACAAGCGCAGATCCGGTCTCACTCTTACTCTGCTATATAAGAAGTTTCTGTAATGATTTAACGGCTGGCTCCTCTGTGCAGAACATCCAGGGACAACAGCGTTCACATTGTGCTTTTTCTCTCCTGTGGATGCAGAAGTCTTTAAAGCAGTTTGGCTTATAACGTCTGTGTGTCATTTCTCGTGTATGCAAGGTAAAGACTAGCACTTAATTAACCCTCGTCTCCTGCATCCCCTCAAAAATTAGGTAGCTTAATAGATGGACAGAACTGCTCTTTGGGTCAGGAGGCAGAATTTACTTCTGCCTGTGAAGTACTTTGGGATCCTGAGGTATGCTACAGAGGTTTTTAATTACTCCCTTCTAAGGAAAGTTTTCCTCTCTCTCAGCTGTGTTTGTTTCTTTTATCATGTGTGCTTGTTGTATGATTTGTCACTTCCACGGTAGGAGCAGCATTAATTATTAACCTTATCATAGGCAGAAAAACATTAAATATTTAAACTTCTCATCCTCCAAAGCCTCTTTAACTGGGTCTGTGCTGATTACACATACCATGACAAAACATTGCAACAATGAAACCTTTTATGAT